AGCAGGCAAGCATGCGTGCGCTCCATTTGCATGAGAGATAGGCACCTGCCACTCGCACAAATGGATCTGTGCATATGCTTGTGCCTGCCACTCACACAGAACCATCCCCTCTCCTCCCCTGCCGGTCTGCAAAGGTGGAAAGGTTGGGGAACACTGCTTTACAGCACTCTCTGGGTGGTATACAATGTTAACATATTGCTCCCAATAATCTGGGTCCTCATTTTACCGACCTTCGAAGGATGGTAGGTTGAGTCAACCTTCAGCTGGTCAGGAAGAAACTGATAAATGAGGGAGAGATAAATACCTTCACCAATTTTAGGATTGCATGGTAAACCTACTCATTTATTAAGTGTCACAAATAGCAAGAGAAACATCTCGGCAAAAATTAAATTATCTATTTCTAAACAATATTCTTTTCTGAACATAATTAGAGCTAACAATACACACCCATTTAAAGCCATTACAAATGCTGGAAACCAAATACCATCTGGCTCCTCTACACAGTTGGAATCTTGGTCAGCTGCCTTGATTGCCCGGAGCCTGGGAAAATCTTATGCATTTTTCAAAGCTTATTCAGTTGAATAAAATATAGCTAACTGCTAACTTTGAAAAAGACAGTTAAGGAAACATATTGAAGTAGAACATTATAATGAGTAGATATTGTAGTCAAGTAGATATTGTAGTCAAGGTGATAAGCATCCAAGATGCAGTTACCACAACATAACCCAAGTTGCACAGATATTTCTCTAAAAAAATCTATTATAAAATAGATAATTATAAAAATCTGAGCTATTATAAAATGGAGAGTCAGTTGAGGGTTGGGTATTGTCTACTCTGAATTGAATAAATTGGTTTAATATGAACACTTGGCTCTTTCTTATGTCTTCTGAGAAATAGGATATTTTTGTTGTCATCAACACTGCTTAAAGATGGAGCTCAATAATACTACATAGGTTTAATTTTTAACTATGCTTCCTGAATTCCATTTCCCATTGCCATGTGTATGTGGGGGAGGGGGGGTCTTGACGTGGTGTAATACTTCAAAAATCTAATGAAGTAAAGTCATAAAGTTTATGCTAAATATTTGTGTAGCTTTTATTGGGTTATAAGACATAAGGTGCTGAGAAGCCACATACCATATTACCTTTCTGCTGCTCTGTGAGGTAGCATACTGAGCAAATCTATGTGCACGCTGGATCACAATATCTAATCAAAGGTTTACTTAGATTGCAAATACTGGAGTTAGGTGAAGATTTTGAAATTGTAGAAACATTCAGATTACTATTAAACAATTGCACAACACTGCATCTGAATTACTATGATTTTGCTTTTCCAATCTTCATCTGTAACCCTAAACATGCATCTCCGAAACATCAGCATCTGCAAAGTTATTTGCAAATACAGATCTTTGAAAATATATAAATTCTTGCTCTTCTCATTATTTGAGTCTCTTATTCCTTTTTCCCCCTTTGTCTTTGTTGAAGAACATGGTGGAGGGAGTTTGAGGGAGTCCACTGTTAAATTGGTGAGGGGCATGTGGGTGTCAGAACAACTTAAGTATAACCATCTAAATCAGAGGTATCAAATTCAATTTCATTGAGGGCTGCATCAGGGTTGTGTTTGACCCTGGGGGGCCGAGTGAGCATGGCCAGGGTGGGCGTGACCAGCTCGATGTCTTGCAGCCCTCTGCCAGTGAAAATGGGCCAGTACTTCGCTGTTTCCAGGGTGGGCCCGTGGGCAAGATCTAAGCACTCCATGGGCTGGATCTGGCTTGCAGGCCTTGAGCTTGACACCCCTGATCTAAATGCTGAGACAATGTGAAGATAAATTCTGTGGGAGCATCTGCTCACGGCAGTCTGGTCATATTTGCAAGGATAAAGGAAGGAATGCAGGTACCACAAGGGTGGTAGTTCAAACCTATGTAAAGAGATGTCTGGTAGGGGCAGAAAGTGCTGAGTGAGAGTGGGCTGCCTGCATTGTTACCTAATCACACTTCTCTGCCTTGGTTCTTGAAGAATACCAAGAAAGAAAAAGTGAGAAAAACATGTCTTTGTTTTTCTGGACTATCGCATAACTACTTCCATCTCTTCCCCCATCTATGACTGGAGACCCCTTTGTTAATGAAATAGCAGCACCCTTGCTTGTACTGATAATTTTTATCCTGGAATTTAAAGATTTGCCAGCCGCCAGAAAGCTTTACAGCATTTGGAAGAACTGTAAATATTGCCATTATAATTTCTAGCCATCGTGAACAGCTTGCAGAATGGAATTCTAGGAGTTACAACCTAACTTGACTGAGGGATACCTTGCAGGAGAAGAGTGATGTAATAAACATTCAAGAAAAGGCTTAGTAACCTCATTGAGTGACCTAGTGTATCCCACATGGAGGTTGCATGCATCTAGGAGCACCTTGAGCAGAGGTCAATACAAATGTGAGAAATGTGCCACATTATAGCACTTGTGGACAAGGGCACATTAAGTAATGGCCTAGCAGGCAATTCATTCTAAATTTAATGAAAAAGAGAAAGAGATTTTACAGTCTTCTTATACTGGGATAATTCTGTTCCCTTCCTTCTTTTTAATTAAACATAAATGAGGTTAGACATGCATTTCCAATTTTCCTGACTCTTTTAACAATCTTAGGTCAGTGAAATGGTTACATAAAAAATAATAATAATAAATTTCTAATGAAAATGAAGCATAGCAAATAAAATACAAATAAAAGTGGGGGGAATTATCTACTAACGCCTCTTTCTTGAAGTAATATATTGAGACAGTTTCTAATGCCTTTTTAAAAGGACACAAAGCCATAACAGAGAATTTTGCTGGAGAATTCTGTAACTATTGACAAATGCTACATTTAAAGATAGCATTAAGGAAAAAAAATACTGTATATAATTAACGCTAAATAGAGTGGATGTATGATATCTGCTACTAAACATGCCTTCAGCATCAGACCATCAATTCAACATATAGTACAGTCTGTTTAAGACCAAGACCCAGGTCTCGAAAAACTTGACAGCAGCCTTCTCCCAAAAACAGTTAGATCAGGAGAAGGAAATGGTTATGTTAAGGGGAAAAAAAATTAAATTAGATTTAATTTAAAAGAAATTAGATCAATTACTGTTAATATAGTTATCTCTTAGGCATTTAATATGCCTCCCATTCTGTTGCACTGAAAATGGCCATCTGCCAGCACTTCTGGAGTTGCTCTGAGAATTTGGCCTTATGAAGCTTACAGGCACCTGAAGGGGCAGTCTGTATTTTACATCTGTGCTTCCATTGTGACTCCTATGTATTTTAAGTAGCACTCACAATGGCAATAATGAGGCTATCTGCTGCAAAGAAAATGATATGCATAGAGGTGCAAAAGATTGTGGCTGGTATGCATGAGAACAAAAGAGTCAACCGATAAGCAACTTTGACAAAAGAGACGTGAACTGTCTACAGATTATGTAAAATACCATTATAAAACATTGCCTAGAAAGGACACTTTCAAACAAAGGGGCAGGAGGATGTCTTCAAGACTAAATTAAATTTTCTCCATCTAGCTCCCAAATTTGGATTAAACAAAATACCAAATACTTGATTATTTAGCAGTGGAATCTTTCTTCTGCCACAGAACAGTGAGATTAATGTTATTCTTTTATCTCGGGTTGTTTGACTAATGAACTGTTGAGAACCTTCCTGCTACTTTCTACTATAGATTTTGCTTACTGACTGCCTCACTTAGCGGCCATTTGAAGTTATGATGGTTGAAGAAAGCAACAGCTTCCTGATTAGTCCTTGCATCTATGACTGTTGCAGCATCTTGGGGTCACAAAATTGCCATTCAGACACTTTGCAACCCTGGCGCATATCTATGACAGTTGCAGTGTCCCACAATCATGTGATCATGCTTCACAACTAGCTTCCAACAAGCAGAAATAATGGAGAGCTTTATCCAGCCAATTTACACATGGGAGTTAAGCGGCTTAAGGCTACAGAGCAGAAAAGCCCCAATTAGCTCATTTCTTTTTCCCCTTTCCCTGAATTCCCCTTTTACAATAAAGGAGTTATCCCTCTCCCACCCCACCCTGTCATATAGCCTTGGACTGAGTACAATTTTTCAAGGGAACGTATTAAACAGCTTAAAATTCCACGATGTCCTTATATACACTTCTCAGCCTTGGATACTGTCACTGCATTTGACATAAAAGAAGCGTTAAGGAGAGACACCTCCTTTCATTATTCTTGGCTTAGCATGTGCATCTTCTCCTTTTGTCTTCAGCTATATTAGCAAAAGGGAGGATGCCATCAGATGCCCAGGTTTGATTTCTTCCACAACCTCAATTCATGCTTTTTTTCCAGCATCATCCTCTTGTGTTGAATAAGATTACTATTTTAAGCAGCAGGTGTTAGCATATCATGAAAAGAGAGAATCCCAACAAATAATTATTTATTATTGCTGCATTTTTACTGTAAAATATGAAGATAAGTGCATTCTGGTTCATTTTCCCAAATAACATCGTCTTAATCAACATGCACATTAATTTGGGTGGCAAGATGAAAGAGCACAATGTCCTGCAAGGACTCTGATCTTTTAATCTCACATTGTTCTATCTTTAAAGGACAGATATCCCTGTGATGTTCATCTGTTTGCCTCTTTCCAACTCTGCCTTCTTTCCAATCTAGTGTTTGGTTTCAACTCTTTTTCCTGAAGCTCTTGATCTTCAATTAGTGTCATTAAAATAAATATGCAGCCCCATTGTAATTGGTGGCATTATATCCCATGATCATCATCTTGCTATTACTGGTATTTGCAATTAAACTCCTCCTTTAGTTTCCCCCCCCCCTTCCACAGAAGGAACTTCTCATAGCTTTTATAGCTTATTTCATAATTTCTGTGGGATCTCCATGCCTTTAAACAAATGGTTTGCCAAGGAAACACAACCGCGTCTTTTCCTACCTCTCTGGGGCTTCCTCCTTTGTGTAGCTGATCATATATAACTACAACTTACCAGTTTGCGCTGACACCACTGGCAAATTCCACACAGGACAATGGTGACACTAAGGCTAATGGTGATGATGACTGAAACCAGGAGGACATCACGGGAAGGTGTCCCTGAGAAGAGAAAGCCCAAAGTTAGCCACGTTAACCTGAAGAATAATTTCTCATCACATCGCCTCATTGTCCTTCAAAATTTTTTTACTTGCTTTTGTCCACATCTCTCAGCAATCCTTACAAAATGGAAGGTCTGCTAGCCAGCAGAACTGATGAACAGTTTCTTCTCTACATATGTGTCAAGTGCCTCAGATCCCTATTTCTCAAGGTCTTTTTGTATTTTGTTAGGATTTCTATTGGGCTTAGTACTTAGTACTATTTTCTGTTAAACTAAACTAAAACAACTGGTTCAATCAATATTTTTTTAATACTTTGTTCTAATTTCACCTTGGTGAAGGAGTGTAAGAAGAAAAAACAGCAATGAATTCTTGGCGGTTCCTTTGCCAAGCAAGATCTCAGACTGCGGAGATCAAACCAGGGATTGAAACTGCTGCTTTGGCTGATAATGGAGAGATTCAGCACATGTCCCTAACATGGACAGGGCAAGCCTTATTGCAATGCAGCACCCAGAACCAACCATAGATTATCATTATTATGCTTTGATTTCATGGCACTCCAGCTGCATGCCTTTCTATAGAACAATTATAGCAGCAAAAGAACATTGCTTTAAAAAAAAAAGTAGAGAGGAACCGCTCCTCTCTAAATTAAAAATAAAGGAAAATAAAAGTAAAGGTTGGGGGGGGGGATGGGATTTAAACCTACAATTTTACTCCCTGGATTCATGCTACTTTGCTGTTTTTATTCCAATATTTTATAAACATTGGAGCAAAGGATCCTGAACAAGGGCTGTTGTTTTTCTTCTAGATAATAGTAAAGAGAGAAATCTGTTTTTCATTGCTGATAAAGTGGGTAGTAGAGAAAAACATCCCTAAATCACAGGCCAGAGAAAGTATCCTGCTAGGTTGTGGGTTGTCCATGTGAGATCTAGAATTTAAATAGCACAGATTCTAATTAGAGCTCAAGAGAATGAATTCATATTCTAAAATAGTGGCCTTGATCTAGAAAAGTATGACAATATTAAAACCAGAGCTACTTTAATTGCAATTCATATGGAAGGGTCCCAGTTGTTTAGAGCTAGCTAAGGTAAGTAGATGATTTGGCTACCTCCACAAGATATATATGGGTCAGATGTTTTTGATAGCTAGCCTTAGCACAACTTTAATTCCACATATACGCCCCCACTTAAACATCCATTCCATCAAATGTACATAGTTATACAAGATATCATGACTCAGCCCACATTTAGCAGAGGAAGATAAATGGAAGAAAACAGATAAGTAGTCAGACAAAGCATGTATTGTGTAATGTTTTCTTTAACAGACTATAATTCAACATTTATTTCATTATTATTTTTCTGGTATAAACAACTATGGAAAATTTAGAGCAACCAAGCAATAAATCAACAGAAGATGCTAGAATTCAATAAATTCAAGGTAATACTTGCTGAGAAAATGTAGCACTGTGTCTTAAATAAGCAGTAACCTCTTGTGTAAGAGGGTGAAGTGCTATCATGAAAAATCCAATGGATTTCTTTCATTACAACACGGGAGATGGAAATAAAAGCAGAAGGCTAATCCGAGCATAGGTAATAAGAAATGGTACAGTGTGGCCGCATAGATTAGTGGGGTGGCTATATCAATAAGCAAATATAATGCTCACTCTTCTTGTTTACTCTAGGATCTTGCACTAATAAACAGAATATTTAATTATCTGGGTTGATGATAGAAGATTGCCCATGAAGATATAGTGCAGCTTCTGGAGAAAGAAGAGGCATGACTATTACAAATGAGCCATACAAGCCAATCAGGACTGCCACCCTCCCACTCTTTTTCTATGGATTCCTGGTGCCAGCAAACAAACCAGCAAACAAACTGAGTGAAAAGATAGAGGAACCATGAATGAAAGCAGAACCATGCAACTAAGCAAAAATAGCTCCCCAAACAAGCAGCCAAGACTGATGACAGACAAACAGATCTTTCCCCCTTCCCTTGGCTCTCAGAAAAATACATGGCTTTTATTATATTTAGAGACACCCCCTAGCCTGCTGGCCCCTAGATCCATTAAAACTACCATCAAATTGAAAGCACATCCTGATACAGCAACTCTTCCCAATATAAATAAACTAAATGAAGCCACAGGAAATTTTGCAATAGCATCACATTTTTTTAAAACTTTTCTTTTGTAAATTGTATTGGTTGTACGCTAATAAAGGAAGAGGTCTATTTATTAATTTCACAGAAGCACAGACTATAGGGGCTATATTGATTCATTATCTCCATGTTGTTCACTCTATCACTTCTTAATGTTTTCACCTCACCCATTTCTGAAATTTCAAATATGGTATTTTTATGGGGTGGGGGTGTTGTATCATTTCATTCTCTATTTTGTCATGACTAACCTGAAAAATAGCTTCAGCTCTTTTTTTTTTAATAATCTATCCAAGCTTGGATCAGTGTGAATCTATAATCAGATTGTTAACTGCATCTTTAATTGATGCTAAATCTTGCTGTGGGAAATAATCTAATATTTATTTCATTTCTGTAGCACTTCAAACCAGTGAACTCTAAGCAGATGATCCTATGGAACTCTTGCCATATTAATAAAAATGGCATGGAACAGAATGAATATGGTAGTCATTATTTTCAGCAACTTTTCTGCTCTTGTGATAACAAAAGAATTGTGTCTCTGAAATCGTGGGGGTATTGGGTACAGTTTTTGATTCCTATGTAATGATTTAAATATTATGGAGAATAAAGAAATGTATGAGAAGGCATCAGAAACAGACAGAGATTGCAATCACTTTATATGGGCTGGAATGGAATAATTATGATAGCTTGAGGATTTAAAATAAAAGAATTGAGATGGGGGGAATTCTGAAAAATAATGAACATTATAAGCAGAACAAACTGAGTGTTCCAACATATTTTGCTGATATGAGTATGAAGAGGCCCAATTAACTGCAATAGAAATGCACATCTAGTAGCAAAAGGTATTTCCAAATCATATCATTAACCTGTGGAGAAACTCCAGGCAAATAGGAAAATCTTGGAGACAGGTGCTTATTAAAATTCAAGCTAGTTTGCTCAGGTATAAAACAATACAAGAAAGAAATGCAAGAAGTCCTTTCTCATTCTTCAGACTCCTCTTTAACTCTGTTCACTTTTTGTTTTATCACTGATTAGGACAATTCCCATGGGCACATTTCACTGGTATAAGTGATTGGTGTTAGGCTTGGATCTGTCACACAAATTTAATTGCCTGTAAGTAAGGCGTGAGGACAACAGACCTCTCTCCCTGCTAGTCCACAACATACTGCCTTCCCAGTAACCATCATGGCTAGTAGCTGTATCCTCCATAAAGAATTTTTCCACTCTCCCTTAAAGCAATCTAAATTTTTGACAATCACGAGAAACTTAATGGTTTAACACTATGCTGTGTGAAGAAGATCCATCTATCCTACCAAATCCAGCTTCTATAGATGATCCCACTTTTAAAACAGGGAGGGAAAGAGACCAATTTCTTCCTCAGCTTCTGTCAGCCCTTTCAGATGGGCTAGGTCAGGAAACAGACATTACAAGGACCACAAGAATGCTACTTTATTGTTGTAGGACAGGCCTGTACCAACAACATGCAGCCTGCCAAGCCGCCTTGTGAAACCAGGTGCTTTTTGAAAATTCAATAAATCCATTGCTGTCACCGCCAGGAATGATTTGCCATCACTGCCTGGAAAGACTCCAATACCCGCTTGACATAGTCAGCTTCCTCACTGTCACAAGGCTGCTAGTCACCAAACAATTCAGTGCAATAACTATTCCTTTATGGCTTGCAATTATTTTTAATTTATCAATGTGGCTCTTTCCACCCTGAGTTGTAGAGGTCTGTTGTAGGAGGAGATAACAACAGTCTTCGTTCTTCTTTCTCTTATGCCAATCAGAATCAAAGCCTTCACTTATGTTAAGTTTCTTTCTCACACCTTCCTCTTTCCCAGGTCTGAGTTGTCTTTTATGTCTTTAATAGTTCCTGAGGAGTGCCTTTGTCAGGATTAGATTTGCATTTCTCTACAGCTTCTCCCACACTATGCTACTATACATTATGTATATGTTTTGCTCTTACTCTCTTTTTTTCCAAACTAAAATGGCAAAACATTGAAATATTTCCTTGTACACAATTGTTCCAACCTTTCCGTTACTTCAGCTGCCCATTTCTGGACCACTGCCAGGTCCCTAATATACATTTCAAGGATCTCAGAAATAAAATGGTGCAATCTTAATTCAATAACAAGATAATTTCCCCACATGTGTAGCAGCTGGGCTGCATTTGGAAAGAACATCTGGATTTCCCAAACGATTGAGCATTTATTGCACAATAAATAATGGCCTTTAGACACTCCTCTCTGAAATCTTTAGGGAATGAATCCTCTTTTGTTTACCAAAGAGCCTGGATTTCTAAAAGCTTCCTATTATCTATCAGTTGTAAAAACATCAGGCACACAGCAAATGAAAGAAATGCAAAACAAAAGCCAGATACTGCATACATACAACTGTTCACTAGATTAAAACTATCACAATATTAACACGAAGCTTTTTGTTAAATTACTTGGGTTGATAGGTTAGCCAGCATAAAAGGTATTGTACAATAACAGAAATTTGATTGAAATTAAAGGTAATACATAATAAAATATTGCGCATTAGTATGTGCCTTGCCTGATAAGTCGTATTTTCCTTATATAGTATAGGAAAAAAGTACCTTTTTACTTATGAATCACTGTTAGGTTCAAATTGCTGCTAACCACACAGCTTAAGATGCCCATCCATTTTGTAACACAGGCCAAAAGCTTCTATTACTTCCCTAACTAGAAATGCCTGGAATTAAATATGGACCCCTTTCTATTGATGGTAGCACTCTATTTTTATTATTCCTTAACATTGTTATAGTTCCTATTTTATGTATGTGTTTATGTCTCAGATCAAGTTAGGAACTAAGCTACAATTTGATAATTG